AGAATACACCTTATACTGCAGCTCGAATGCTGAACATGTTTGGGCAGGTTTAGCAATCTTAATCCATAACAAACTAATTAAATATGTAAGCTTTAATCCAATTTCCAGTCGCATTTGCTGCCTTACCTTAAATATTGGTTACAAGAAAATTCACCTGTTCAATATTTATTCACCACATAATAATAAAGTTTTTAACATAGAGCTGGAAAATATCTTAAAAGAACTACCTCATCAAGATAGTATCATATTAGCTGGCGATTTCAATGCCTCGGTCGGGAAGCCTAACAATTCTACCTGCCTCGGGAACGCCACTCTAGTACAAAGTAAGAACACTAATGGCAAAAAACAATAGAAATCTGTGAACACTTCAATTTGAAAATAGGAAATACCTTCTTCAATCATCCTAACCATCACACCATGACCTACAAAAGCCCATCTTTTGGCACTACCTCACAAATTGATTTCTTTGTAATTTCCAACAATATATTAAAGTGGGTGAAGGACATCAAAGTCGTCAGCAAACTGAACTTCACCTTATTTACGGACCATTACCCACTAGGATGCGAGCTAAGGATAAAAAATAGCATTTTTCCAAACCGAAATCAACATAGCCACCTTAACTCTACACACTTCATAATGAGGAAAGACTTGGCACAGCTGAATGATCCGGTTATAAAGGAAGAGTTCATCACCAATCTAACAACTTGGAGAAACACCCAAAATGGCACGATCAATCCTAATATAACTTGGAAGGATATGAAACTAAGTTTATCAAGCTGTATGAATTCATGCTTAAGACCACGAATTAAACGTAAAGAATGGCTATCCCCTTCAACAATACAGATAATTAAAAACTTAACAACAAATATCTCCTATAACCAATATACTAAACACCACAGAAGGTACATAACTCACTGCATAAGAACAGATAAAAGATATTTTATTGCCAACTTATCTAGATCCATACAATATAGCTTTGACAACAATAATATTTACAAGGCTTTCCAATCTCTTAAGTTACTCACTACCTTTAAATCCAATCCTCTACCAAGATTACACATTGAAAATAATAAAATTATAACGGACCCCAGGGAACAATTAGCGATATGGACAGACCATTACATGAACCTTTACAGAACAAGGTGGCCTAAACCATTATGTGACTATCCTTTCCAACCACCTAATCGGAACCTGAACAGAATAGATATAATCAATGCCATTAAAAGACTAAAAACCCATAAAGCAGCCGGAATCGATGGGATTTTTGCGGAACTTTGGAAGATAGATGCTGATTTAAGTGCTAGTCTACTGCTTCCCCTCTTTAATGAGATATGGAATACTGGCAATTTCCCAGAGGAATGGATGACCTCGATAATACTTAATTTCCCTAAAAATAAGAACCCGACTAGCCTGAAGGACTACAGAGGAATTGCACTGATCTCAGTTACCCTAAAAAATGTTCACGTATATTATAGCCTTCAGGATTAAACCAATCATCGATAGAAACCTCTCAAACGCCATCACATCATATAGGAAGGGCAGGAACACGACGGAACTAACCATGAAGCTTAAGGTTCTGGAGAAAGCTAGAATGCATAAGTCCCCAATATTTGCCCTAATGATTGATCTAAGTCAAGCCTTTGACTCCATCATACAGCATAAGATCTGGCCCTTACTGGAGGACATAGGAATAGATAAACATCTGATTTCGCTTATAAAAATAATATACGATAATCATAACGTGATACCACAACATCTGAACTTAAAATCACAACCATTTAAGGCCAACAGAGGACTGAAACAAGGATGCATTTTATCACCTATGCTATTTAATGTAATAATGAACGATATTCTGAACAAATCCTTCAAACAAGAACATGCTCTTAACCCTCGATATCTGAATCAACAATATGATAATAACATACACAACTCTCTAAATTTTCTATGCTATGCCGATGATGTATGCATATTAGCTAACTCTGAGTACAAATTAAGAAACTTGCTGTCATTGTTTGTCAAAAATTGCTTTGGATACGGACTGAAAGTCAACTACTTTAAAGACAAAGTTAATTGCATCCAATATCCTTCTATATAACAGCGGCCCCTTTAACTTTGAGGATAATGTGGTAGAAACGGTCTCGGATTTTAAGTACCTAGGAACCAGAATAATGTCATTAGGCACCACCATTTTGGATACTAAGTAGAGGACCAACAAGGCCAGATCCCGATATCATCAGCTAACTAAATTATGGTCGTCCAACCAGTTATCTACGAACCTAAAAATAAGACTCTTTAAATCCCTAATTCTACCCATCTTAACATACGGTTTGGAAACATGGCAGGACACTAAAAGCAACATCAACACATCCCAGACCTTCATAAACAAGTGCTTAAGAAGAATCACTAAAATTTACTATCCATACAACACCCCAAACACAACTCTCTGGAACAGGTGTGACATCCTACCTATCAAACGACTCATTCCTTTGAGGAGATTAGAATTACTCGGCCACTGCTTAAGACATTCACGAGAGAATATGATATTTTCGTCCATGAAGTGGACCCCGGATTATGAAAGGCGAAGAACCCCCAAATACTATTGGCTGGCAAAATGTCTGAAGGACATGGACTTGATCAATCTTACGTTTATAGATTTTCTTGCACTCAGCAAAAACAAGAAACATTTAAAGGAACATCTACAATACATGCTTAAATATGGTTTAAACTAGAGCAGGAATCGTGGAAGTATCAGACTATTTCTCGCACTGCCTTATTTCCAATCTCTTATCCCCAGTCTAATGACAACTTAAATTTTGGCGCAATTGGAATTATGGTTTAAATAAAAAGAGATGAGATAAGTATAATTTTTATTTTTTTTTCTAAATTTCCCCCTCCCCTTTATAACACCCTTTTTCCTTTCCCTACTGGATAAACGATTAATCTTAAAACCATGAATATTAATAATGATAACGATCTCCAGGCTCAATATAATAATGATAATAGTGAATAACATGGATTCCGAGCATCGCTTGCTTAATACAGACAAGGATCTATGGGGATACTTTTTGACTTAGAATGACAAATGATTGAGGATAAAAGAAGGAATAAATCAGACGAAGACAATAAGCTCTTTAGGACAAGGGACTTCAGGAAGTGAGATTACAATTACAGAGAAGTTGAATCCCTCAGGAATAGGACATGTTATATAGACATTGCGTTATCTTCCAAGGATATACTTACCAAACATTAAGAATTTTTTCCCATCTCTTAAATCTAACCAGGCGTCAGGTACATTATTATTAAGCTACAATTCTTAACACTATCTTGCCGGTAACGGAACTAATAGATCCCCTCTTTCTTACTCCTCTCTTCTTTACTATGCTAGCTGACTACATAGTGGTACCGTCCACTATAATAAAACGGGTATACATCATGTATAGGATCTATATACTAGTGAATATACATGATGCACGCTACAACTCCTGGTGGGTGATGAATGAATTATTTAAATATAAAAAATGATGGATATATCTAAAAATTATATATCGTTCTTCATCAAAATAATTTCATACTATGCTAGTGAGATCACTTAATTCCATTATTCATTCATTAAAATCTATTTAATATGAGGGAAGATATTATTAGTTATATAAGGTTTTTTGGTGATGCCTTGACTCAAGTTCATTTAGATTGAAATAATTATTACCCAGATCACCAATCATCCTTTTATTGTTTATTAACAAGAAAATGATATTATTAGGAAATTAATTATTTGATGAGGCCTTCATTTTTATAACACAATGCTTGCACATTTTTTTCTGTCTTAACTAAGATGATGATTAGTTTTATTTATTATATGTTAAAAACATTTTGTTTTAACGTTATAGAAGTTACATAATATAAAAAATAATCTAAATAATTAACTGACATTTTTTGCAAATTCTCACGGCAAAAATACCTGCAATAGTTAGGGAATTCCCCAAAGCCACCAAGAGTTCCCCTTTAAAGATAGTATGAAATCACAGGATCTTCGTAAGGGGGCCAATTTTGGAGTGATTTAATTTATCCATAAATTTTATTGGATATTTTTGGGTTCCCCTTTTAAAGACATTGGCCCGATTAACTTTATTTCAAAAATTTCAATTTTATAATTTATTTCAAATATTCAATTAAAGACTATTCATACTATTAAAAAAACGATATAAAAAACAAAATTATATTTAGGAGAGGGGGGATGCCCTATCATGAAAAACATAATGGATATTTTTACTTTTTGAAAATAATGTTTATAATGACATATAATATTCATCTTTGGAAGAGGGCGGTGGGAAAAGTGTAGGGGAATTTTTTTTTACTAGCTTAAAATGATATTTACAACAAATGAAAAATTTTCTAAGGAGGGATTTCCCTCTTCTCCCTTTGTAGACTTCAATAAGGTTTAATTATGTTTTTAGTTTAATTATATCCATAGATGTTTAAAGTCAATTTTACCAGATTTACTACTATTTTTAGTCCAGTTCCAAGCCCCTGTTTGGAGTTGTAGGCTTAATAGAATTTTTATAGTCAATATCTAAAAAAAATTAGATAAAAAATCTAAAGGGGGGTTGAGTGTATAAGTAATTAGGCGTGGAATTCATCAAATATAAAAATAAACCTTTTTACAAAGTTATTTTTTTATTCATTGATCTCTCCTCCTTTAGAAATAGGGTTATTTGAAGTTCATATAGTAACTCCTTGTAAAAAATAAATTTGAATTTCGTTCCACATTTTGTAGTAAGGTTTAAGAATATATTTATACTTCTTATTTATAATTATCGATTTTTATATTTAATTTATTATGTTTCGTATTCATAATTATAAAAAATATTTCATATGAAAAATTATAAGTAGTGAAATATATACGAATTCTATTAAATTTTTTGAATCAAATGTAGTAGTCTATTAATATAATATCTAAAATCTAAATTCAATTTTTTAAAATTTAAAAAATATATTTATAGAAATTTTACCCATCCCAAAACGGAGAGGAGTATTTGTGAGCAATACGATAGATATTTCATATTGTGCGATGAGAATTATGACTCCATCAAGACTTTCACGGTTATACATTTACTTCAAATAAAATCATGTAATATAATAAGGGCTATGCTTTAGATATAGGATAGGAGTCGATTGTTATTTGGAAAAATTGAATTAGGCCTTAAAACCGTTATTATCACTGTTTTTGGTTATAACTGGATATGGAATCTCTCAGGATTCGATATTAAACATTAGACGAATCCCCACATTTTAGAATTTTTTAAAAACTGGAATAATTATAAGCGCGACGTTCTTAATTTTAAAAAATATTGAAATTAAAAATTGATAATAATTTGAAAAGCCGACAATTATTATTATTCATAAATTATATGGAATGGAAAAAATCTTTATTTTTATTCTTTAATAGATATTTTGTTAAATTTGTGGTCTCTTGTAAAATTTAATTAGAATATACCAATATTTTTAATTTATTATGTTATCGGTTAAAAATTTTGTTATGTGTCACAGGCGTAAGTTTTTAATTTTTTTTAAACAATATTTATTTTATTCCACCCCCCCCCCCCAGCTCCGTGAAGTTGGCCGAACATTTGGAAAAACTAACGATGAATCATATGTCATTTTTTAGTGCTTCGTTAGTACATTCCGTATAGTAGCCCGAATTTGAGGAATTTAAGAATAAATTGGCGAAAAAAACAAAAATAAATAAATATTGGCGACTTGCCAAAACAAAAACTAGAGTAGTACTAAACATCCGGTTCTCGCCATTATTTAGTGCTTAATTAATGTATTTAAATTCCGTTATTAATTTGGTTAACCGCCATATGGGGAAAAAGTTATTAGCTAAATAAAAATTATGACGTAACGATTTAGGCGTGAAGTTGACCGAACTTTCGGACGCACTAACGATGAAACATATATCATTCTTTAGTGCTTCGTTAGTAGAGGATAGTGCTTCAATTACTTTTATAGCCGAATTTAAGAATAAAAAGTTATTGGCGAAAAAACAAATATTGGCGACGTGCCAAAACAAAAACTAAAGTAGTACTAAACATCCGGTTTTCGCCATTGTTTAATGCTTAATTAATGTATTTAAATTCCGTTATTATTTTAGTTAACCGCCATATGGGGAAAAAGTTATAAGCTAAATAAAAATTATGACGTCACGATTTAGGCGTGAAGTTGGCCGAACTTTTGGAAGCACTAACGATGAAACTTATATCATTCTTTAGTGCTTCGTTAGTAGAGGTTAGTGTTTCAATCACCTTTGTAGCCGAATTTAAGAATAAAAAGTTATTTTCGAAAAAAACAAAAATAAACAAATAATGGCGACGTGCCAAAACAAAGACTATAGTAATACCAAACATCCGGTTTTTGCCATTATTTAGTGCTCAATTAGTAAATTTGGATTCCGTAATTAATTTGGTTATCCGTCTTTATAAAAAATTGTAATACGCTAAGGATTATGAAAATATATAAAATTATAAAATATGTAATTGATTTTATCACATGTGTGGGAAATTCTGTGGTTAATTTTTTATATTATTTAAAAAATTTTTGATCACTTGTAAATTTTTATAGTATGTAACACATTTCCATAATGTGAAACATTCTTATATAGTTAAATAACTTTCCATTAGTGTTGTTAAACGGCTCGATTTGAGCCGATTTTTAAAAACAACTAACTCAACATATGAGGCTAAAAAATAATGCATAAGCGTCGAGATTTCGCCAATAGATGTTCAATCCTATATGCTATCTATGAGAAAATTCTTTAGGCTTGCATAATATTTTTCTGGATAAAATATTGAGTTAGCCGTTTTTAAAAATCGGCTCAAATTGAGCCGTTTAACAACACTACTTTCCATAATTATTGTAAAAAACATTTTGATTTTGATATAATTTTTTTAAAAAAATTTTTAATAATAAAACTTTAATAAAGACGAACGTCAAATTTATAAATCGAATATAATTTTTTAATGTTTTTGTCTAAAATTTTTTTAGGCGTCTCGAAAGGTCTCAGAAAATTTGAAGGATTGATATGGCTGTAATTTATCGAATCAGGGTAACTCTCAGAATTCCTGCCTAAGTATTAGTGATCTGCATTTTGCCGGCCCGGCCCGAACCAGAAATTTTTTTAAACAAATTTTATCGACCTGGCCCAGTCATGCCCGAATTTATTTAAATATAGAAAATAATTTTTAAAATTACTCAAAATAAAAGACATGTTATATGTTGTCTAGTTTCTATAAATAATATCAAATATTTTTATTTTACATAAAAAATTCAATATATAATTGATAAATTTATAGATATATTTTAAAAAAATTTAGGCCCGACCCTACTCGGCCTGAATTTTTTTTATAGGCTCGAACAGGCCCGAACCCGATTTATTTTTAAAAAAATAGGCCTGAGCACGGTTTGAAGGGTACTGGCCGGGCCTACTTTTGCAAATCTCTAATAAGTATATTCATAATAATGTGATCTTAATATAACTAAAATTTATGATAGAAATATATATATGCATAATTTTTTCGAATAAAATAAAACTATGTAAAAAGAACAATTTGAATTAAGAATAAAAAATTTCTGAGAATGTTGGTAACCATATCATTCAATGACACCTCAGAATAATAGATGCTGGAGAAAAAAATATAGTTGTTACAATAAAATAATAAAAATTATATAATTATTACACAATGGGGTTCAATGGATCCATTTAGGCAGTAGTGGAAATAATATTTTGTGACTGGTTATAGCTATTCATCTATTTTGGGAACCTTAATATATATAAGCTTCTGAAACATTATATTACTCTAATATGACAGATGATCTTCGGAAACAATTGATAAGCTAAGTGCAAAAAGACAATATGCATTTTTTAATTTACTTAGGGTTTTTAATCAAACTAATTAGGATTTAAATTTTACAAAATAAGTACTAAATAATGGTGAAAATAAAATGTTTGTCGTTGATATATTTTTTGTTTATTTTGTTAATAACTTTTTTATTTTAAATTAGGTATTAAACTGATTGAAGCACTAACCTCTACTAAGGAGGCTCTAAAGAATTATATAAATTTCAATGTTAGTGCTTTCATAATTTTCTGGCCAAATTTTGACCTCTAAACATTTCTTTAACGTATTACAATTTTTCATAAAGACGGTTAACCAAATTAATTACGGAATTCAAATTTACTAATTGAGCACTAAATAATGGTGAAAACAGGATGTTTAGTACTACTATAGTTTTTGTTTTGGCATATCGCCATTAATTGTTTATTTTTTTTCGCAAATAACTTTTTATTCTTAAATACGGCTACAAAAGTGATTGAAGCACTAACCTCTACTAACGAAGCTCTAAAGAATGATATAAGTTTCATCGTTAGTGCCTCCAAAAGTTCGGCCAACTTCACGCTTAAATCCTGACGTCATAATTTTTATTTAGCTTATAACTTTTTTTCCATATGGCTGTTAACTAAATAAATAACGGAATTTAAATACAGTAATTAAACACTAAATAATGGCGGAAACAGGATGTTTAGTACTACTATAGTTTTTGTTTTGGCACGTAGCCATTATTTGTTTATTTTTGTTTTTTTCGCAAATAACTTTATATTCTTTAATTCGGCTACAAAAGTGATTGAAGCACTAACCTCTACTAACGAAGCACTAAAGAATGATATAAGTTTCATCGTTGGTGCTTCCAAAAGTTCGACCAACTTCACGCCTAAATCGTGACGTCATAATTTTTATTTAGCTTGTAACTTTTTTCCATATGGCTGTTAACTAAATTAATAATGGAATTTAAATACAGTAATTAAACACTAAATAATGGCGAAAACAGGATGTTTAGTACTACTATAGTTTTTGTTTTTACAGTAATTAAACACTAAATAATGACGAAAACAGGATGTTTAGTACTACTTTATTTTTTGTTTTGGCACGTAGCCATTATTTGTTTATTTTTGTTTTTTTCGCAAATAACTTTTTATTCTTAAATTCGGCTATAAAAGTAATTGAAGCACTAACCTCTACTAACTAAGTATTATATATGTAAATATATGTATTAAACACTCCATTGATATCTACAAACATAGCAAATTAATAATCAAATAAATTAAATTTTTAGTTTTTAGAACCATCAATGATTTTATTATTTCATATTTTACATCAAGACAAAGACAATAAAAATTATTCTTCAACAAAGACAATAATCCTTTTTCTCACCAAGGAAAAACAATATCCTTTTTTCAAATCCCCTTTTGATTGACATTTTGTATATAATTATATATATGTATAAATACATATAACGTGAAAGTTAACTGACATTTCATATATATATATATATAACTTAAACGTACAAAATCACAACACGCCCACCCTTCAAAAACCACGTGTTACATTATCCAAAAATATTTTTCAATTTAATTTATAATATTCAATTCATGTTCATATAATCTTTCCCCTTCATTTCAATTCTCATCATTTATTGGATATCATTTTGCCATAATCTTTTCAATCCTTTCATTTGAGTCATAGCTCTTAGTCATCATTACTCTCAACTTCTCCATATTTATCTTCCAACACATCAGGTGTTAATAAAACATAATGATAAATATTTCATCAAAAATTAATAGTCAAAATATATACCATCACTAAATATAATTTCTTTTCATATATATAATCAATGCGATATTTTGTCTCAATACAAATTTGAATTTTTCCAAAAAAAATGTTTAAAGTAATCTAACAAAAATATGATTTTAAAGACATAATCATAAATAACTACATAAAATCACTATAATTATAATTTTGCTACATATATATCACTAATGTAAGACTTTATCTCAATAAAATTTTGATTTTTTTTTTTTAAACAATAAGATGTAATATCTTTAGATCAATCATTGACATTGGTAAACATAAAAATACATGATTTGTATGACATAAACATAATACAAATATATTCAAATACAATTTAAAATTTTAATTTATACAAAAAAATATAAAAATATTGTAAAATTTCATAATATTGATAATATCTTCTTTTCTTCCAACATTTAATTACTCTAAATGTTTCCCACTGAATTCTAAATATATTCTCTATATTTTTTTGAAACCATTATAATTAATTACTCACTAATTACCCTAAATGTTTAATTCACACTGAATTTTCTCTATATATATAAATTTTTTGTAAACCATTATAATTAATTACCCAATATACTTAATTAAAATTAAGCATTTAATATATCCATATATTAACTACAATTCAATAATTAATATGCCTCAAATAAATTCCCTATATTTAACAATATTGTTTATTTCACATGTTAATATGCCTCAAATATATTCCCTATATTTAACAATATTTTTTACTTCACATGTTAATATGCCTTAAATATATTCCCTATATTTGTCAACAAAAATTACATACTTAATATTTAATACATATTAAATTTCCCATTAACATATTATTCCCAAATATTTAACATATTATCCTGTATTCATTAATTTTATCCAATAAATTGTATTAATTAATATTTGAACTAAAAGAATGAACCAACTCATATGCCCACTTTTAAAAAAAAACCCAAATTTTATATACATATTTTTGATATATTTTTTTAAAATTCTTTCAATACATTCATATTACCATTTAAATTTTCCACAAAAATTTACATGGACTAATTTCATTGACTCATCCAATAAGTAACATTCATATTACCATTTAAATTTTCCACAAAAATTTACAAGGACTCATTCCAATAAGTAACATTCATATTACCATTTAAATTTTCCACAAAAATTTACATGGACTAATTTCATTAAATAACATTCATATTACCATTTAAATTTTCCATAAAAATTTACATGGACTCATTCCAATAAGTAACATTCATATTACCATTTAAATTTTCCACAAAAATTTACATGGACGCATTCCAATAAGTAACATACATATTACCATTTAAGAAATTTTAATTAATGAAATTAATATTCATACCTAAATTCATTTCAGAATTTAAAGGTCTCTGAATCTCATTTATTTCTTTATTAAAAATATCTTCCAACAATAATAAAAATATCCCATCTCATACATATAAATATACCTTATTTCTTAATCATCAATATATTTTAAAAAAAATATCAAAATATTAACACAATTTTCACCCTCCTTATATATATATTTTGCGTTCATAATAATATCATATAAATACTAAAAATATTCAAATTAATTAATATTTTACACTAATATTATTTATTCATATTTAATCAATAAAATAACTCTCATTGCGTTGTGTATTACAATTAAAAAAAATTCTTACCAGTATATCCATAATAGTTGAACATCATCCAATTCCATTTGATTCAAATGATACTTTTACATAACATTTGCCATCAACTTTCGGTGTCTCATCCTGGTTAATACGTGCACCATTATTATATATGTAAATATATGTATTAAACACTCCATTGATATCTACAAAACATAGCAAATTAATAATCAAATAAATTAAACTTTTAGTTTTTAGAACCATCAATGATTTTATTATTTCATATTTTACATCAAGACAAAGACAATAATCCTTTTTCTCACCAAGGAAAAACAATATCCTTTTTTCAAATCCCCTTTTGATTGACATTTTGTATATAAAATTATATATATGTATAAATACATATAAGTATAAATACATATAACGTGAAAGTTAACTGACATTTCATATATATATATATATATATGTATAAATATATAACTTAAACGTACAAAATCACAACACTAAGCACTAAAGAATGATATAAGTTTCATCATTAGTGTTTTCAATCAACATTTAAGCGTGAAGTTGGTACAAATTTTTATTTTTGCTTATAACTTTTTTTCCTTAAATTCGACTACTATACGGATTGAAGTACTAATAAGCACTAATCAAGCACTAAAAAATGACATATGATTCATCGTTAGTGCTTCCAAATGTTCGACCAACTTCACAGAGCCCCCCCCCCCATATTATTAAATAAATATACATACATTTATCTTTTATGTTACCTATTAATAATTTTGTTATTTACTGTCTAAAAAAATTTTTGTCGTGTAATTTTTTTCGAAATATATCGATATTTATGGTATATTATTGAACTAAGAATTTTATCAGGAATTTAAATATTCATTAATTGATCATATTTATGAAAATAATTCAGTTGTTATTTGAGTTCAAATCGTTTAAAGGCTGTTCTCTTGAGAAAATTTTTAACCACTAACACAAAAATATAAATATCGCTATATTTTATTTAAATTTCATTTAAAAAATTAAAGTTTTAGACCAAAAGGAAAATTTTTAACCGCTGACATAAAAAAATATAAATAATGATATAAGTATAAATATATATTATTTTGAAAAAATTTAGACTGAAAAATAACAAAATTAGTTAACTCAAAAAATATAAATATCTCTATATTTTATTAAAATCTGGTTATAAGAAATTAAAAAAACTTTAAATGACAAAATAAGAAAATTTTTAACCGCTAAAAATATAAATATTGGTGTATTACATATTTTTTTTTAAAAACACTTTAGACCTCAGAACGTAATACCGTTAAAATAAAAATATATTTAAATAGGGTATATTCTAATTAAATTTTGTTAAAAAAAATAAGAATAATTCTATCACGTTTCGACCAACCTTATAAAATTTTTGGAATTATTTAGATAGGTAAAGAGAAAGCCGTTTATTTTAGCTCGTTAGCACACCTGGTTACCGAATATTGACTTTCGAATCTAAAATTTTTAAATCTCTAAACGTCTATAATTTGAAAAAAAAATAGGCGCCAATTTGAGTCTTTAACTTTCGGTTTACCTATATCTTATCCCGTGCTTTACCCGTTTTTAAGCAATAAAGGGAGTTGATTTTTGGAAATTTTTTACTTTTTATTTAGACACTTTTTATAAACATATATAAGATGCTAAAATCGTGGCAACAAAATCGGCACTTCCAATATATGCATTTTTGCATAAAATAGATGGCGCTGTATGAAACTACAAATTGTTGTTAAAATTTTCTTTCTAATTTACCGATAACAGGATATTTTCACATTTTATATTAAATTATTTTAAAAATCTAATTAATGTATCAATTAGGCTGAGTGGCAGTAGGGCTAAATCTTAGATATCATAATTATCAAATTTCTAATTATAAATATCTTTCTAATTATTTATTATTTATTTTTATTAATGATTCCATTGATTGTCATATATATATATATGTTATATATTCATTATTATTAATGATAGCCATTGATTGTCTTAAATACATATTGTATATACATTTATTTTTTCATTATATTAAATTCGCATTATTATTCGAGTGAAATGTTATATTTAATATTTGAATTCATCGGAAATTGCATAAAAATATGAATTTTTTTCCGTTCCTAATATTGTAATATGAATCTCTCTTCTAAAATTATTTGCCCTTTCTCATATTTGTTTTCCATAATATAGGAGAGATCTATTACTTAATAAAAGTAATTAATAATATATATTAATAAATTATGTCATTGGTCTACCTGGGTAAACCTGGAAATCGCCATTAAGCGGAGAAGAAAAATAAATTATGTCAGTAATATTTTCCTTAGAATAGGCCAATTGATTTAAAAGATCTTTGTAAGCCAGCTCTAGCCACCACGTTTGACTGTACCATAGAGTCCATCCATGCGCGTACGCAGGAATTTGGTGTGGGGGGAAGGGATAATTAAAATTTTATAAAATAAAATTATTGTTATTTAAAAATATCAAGCATAAATTTATTAGGACTAATAACTATTCCTAATATACAAATTTAAATTAATATGAATTATAAAAAATTAAATATATAAACCGGTATATAAAAATAAATTTGAATTAAAAAATATTAAACGGATATAACCATTGGCGTACGCAGCGGGGGGAGGCAAGGGGACAAATCCCCCCCCCCCAAAGCCAAAAAATGTAGATACCGGATATATTTTTTAAAAATATTATTGTTTATATTAATTTATATTTGTTTATATTTATTCGTATCTCATATTAAATATATATTTAATTACATTTATTATCACATTTATCTACTAAGTAATTTTATCAATTAATTTCCATTTTAAGTTTTCCGGCGTAATATTTATTATTTTCAAATTTTTAGGCGTAATATTTATCTACCATTTTCAAATTTCTAGTCAAATAATAATTATTTCTGAAACTTCTTGTCCAACAGGGAAAAAGAAATTGCAATCTTATCCAACGAGATAGAGTCTCTGCCATCAAGCAGTAACAGCTTTTAAGGAGTTAGAAGAGCCAATTATTTGCTATTACTGAAATAGAACAATGGCCTGAAAGAAATATTTCCTCAGAAGCAAGAAAATTATTGGATTCAATGCTTATAACAAATTTTATTTCTCATTAGAATGTATTATTTAATTATACAACTATTTTAAGTATTACTTTTCAAAAACATGACTGACTTGATTAAGAAGATGAGAATAGCGGAGAGCATTTTATCAGAACTCAAGGAAATTAGGGCTAATATTGATTAAGAATTTCATATTTTATATGTTATTGTTAAGTCAAAAGCAGAGCTATACGTGTTTAATATTTATCTCCCTCGACTTGCAGCAAGGCAAGCTCATAGTTAAAACATTAATATAGGATCAGTAGAAGAGTATATCATAGATACAGATACATTTATAACCCAAATTAATGAATGGTTTTTAATTCATCATGCAGCACTTACCAATCTGCAAATATTACTTCCATAAAAGCCTTCCCAACCTTTTTTCAGATGGTGATAGAAAAAAAAATATTTGTTAGATTTTTATTATGAAGATGTTAAAGTATCTTATGATGCCTTACTAGCTGAATAACTATGTTTATAAGATTAACTATGGTTGATATAGTCCCAAAAAATGATATGGATGCTCTGCATTATTTCAAACACATTTTAGATTAAATTCCCAATGTATTAAAAGGATTTATAAACTCTTCCCATTAGTAAACTAATGAGAGAACATTCTCTTTTTTAAGAAGAATAACAGAGGCCTGCAGTAGTACCATTTGCAGGGCATGGCCCGGATTTTTTTTAAAGATTTTTTACGGCCCGGCCTAGGTTTTTTTAAAAAAAATTATATTTATTTTTGATTTTTATAGCTAATAATAACGATTTTAAATATAGGCTATTTTAAAAAATACAGGCCGGATTGTGTTTTTTTTTTAAAATAATTCAGACCCGGCCTGGATATTTTTTTAAAAAAATTTCGAGCCCGGCCCGGGTATATTTAAAAAAATTAAAATACTGTCCGGCCCGGGGGCCGAGCCTTCAGGTCTCTGAAAAACATACCAAGATGTACAATATCTGAAAGTAGATTGAAAGGTTTGGATCTTTTGAAAATTCATAGGCATTTGACGATAAGCAAGGATGAGATAATTAAAAAATTAGCTCAATCACAACGAAGATTGGATTTTACATTGTAAATGTATAACATACAAAATGCAATTATTCCTAAGAAACTTTTTGTGTAAAGGCTCAAAAATTCAAATTTCTATTTTGGGTCATTTAAGTGATTCTTTACATATAATTTTTTTATAATTCACATTAATTTAAAATTGTGTATTAGAATTAGTTATTAGTCCTAATAAATTTATGCTCGATATTTTAAAAAAACAATAATATATCTTAAAAAATTTTATTATCCCCCCCCCCCTTCAAAACAAATTCCTGCTACGCGCCTGGATATAACTGGCGACATATAAATACCTTAAATAAATCTGAATTATAAAATATTAAGTGGATATAACCAGGATATGAATGACTATAAAATAAATAACCCATAATAGAAATTTAAATTTTTATGAGCCTTTAAAATTTATATATAAAGTATAAAAAATTTAAATGTTGGAAACATGAATAATTATATTTTTTATGTAAAAGAAAAATATATAAGTCCTTAAAAAATGATCAAAAAATATTATAGAAACATTATATTTTTATAATGTAAAATCCAATCTTCGTTGGGATTGAGCTAATTTTTCAATTATCTCATCCGTGCTTGGCGTCAAATGCCTATGAATATTCAAAAGGGCCAGACCATTCAAACTACTTTCAGAAGTTATACTTCTTAGGTACGTTTTTAATCTTCTTAAAGAAGAGAATGTTCTCTCATTAATTGCAGTACTAATGGGAAGAGTTGCTAATGTATATAATAATTTCAATATATTGGGAAAATAATCTAAAAGATGTTTGAAATGATGCAAAGCATCCATATCATTTTTTGGGACTATATCAACCATAGTTAATCTTTTATACCATAGTTGGCATTCAGCTAAAAAAGCATCATGAGATACATTAACGTCTTCATGATAAAAATCTGCCAAATATTTTATTTTTTTTCTATCACCATCTGAAGAAGGTTCAGAGGGCTTTTGCGGAAGTAATATGTGCAGCTTGATGGTTTAAAAACCGTTCATTTACTTGGGTTATAATTGTATCCAAAAGAGGCATAAAGACATTTATTTTATAATATTCTTCTATTGACCCTATATTAATATTTGGACGATAAGCTTGCCTTGCT